TATTATTATTATTATTATTATTATTATTATTATTATTATTATTATTACTTTTATTCATTAAACATAAAACTCAGTCAACTCATCACTTAAAATATATCACAAATATCATTGACTGGCTCTGATGGTTGATATGGGTTGCTGCCAGCATTCTAGGATCATGATGATGATTATTTTATTTGCTGGTCTGTGACCATAATAAAAATTGATTGATTGTAGATAGTCTACTTGGGTTTCAGATGTACTTGTTGTCATTTTAAAACAATTTTTTTAAAAAATTAAGGGATTAACTAGTAGATTGCCAGACCTATAAAGAAAATAATGACCATGGTGGAAAAATGTCCACATGTATTCAGGTGACTTACTATTTCGGTCATTACTCTGCATTACTATATTAACACAGGTTTAAACAAGCTATTATGCATGGCTTATCCTTCAGACCACTGTAACAAGTAATGGCTGAAAAGTTAACATCCTTTAAATAGCTAAACACAGATAGATACCTTACAAATAATGTGGTCATATGTACTTACCTATAATCGTCTCATTGTAGCTTAGAGCAATGAAGAGAAAACTGAATACATCTGAATACTCCATGTTGAAGCTTGATTGCCCAATTATTGAATCTATAACAAAAATCTCTGAATTCTCAAAGCCTACAGAAATCTAAACAGAGAGAGCAAATGAGAACTACTGAAAAGATGGCCAGAGAGTGGAATGAAACACAACTTTGCAGAGCGGAGCCAGCCTTCTTTAGAAAACATAGCTAAAGACATTTGTTGGTCTCACCTCTGCCCCAACAACTGCACAAAGACAAAAGGCAACAGGGATTATCCTGGCTATTGTCAGCTTTCCTTACCCTCTTGGGGACATTCCAGGTTCCTAAAATTACTGGGATAGTTGAGCGATGAAAGATAAATTGAGAGAAGAAATAATAGAACAAGCCTTGCTTTGCCCGGGTGATAGAAATGAGTATCATAAAGAAAGACGATATAGCAACACCAGCTGCCAGGGCTCCTGATGATATTGTCTCTGTAGTGGCCAAAGTCTTTGAAATAGATACGAAGGACAATTCCCTAAAGCCAGTTGGATTAAGCGGTGATACAGAATTCATGGATGTCCCGGCATGTTTCTTTTTCCATAATAGCCTATCTATCTATCATCTATCTATCTATCTATCTATCTATCTATCTATCTATCTATCTATCTATCTATCTATCTATCTATCTATCTATTATTTTTATTTATTTATTATTTATTTATTTATTTATTTATTGTTATTTATTTATGTTTAGTTTGTCAAGCATGTATGAGAAAACAAGTATAAGTATGAACATAACATATAAACATATAAGTATAAACGGGTATAAGTGTACACATAAAAAATGAGTATGAATAAATGGGAACAGTAGGACAGGGATGGTAGGCACGCTGGTGCACTTATGCATGCCCCTTTACAGACCTCTTAGGAATGGAGTGAGATCCACAGTAAACAGTTTAAGGTTAAAGTTTTGAGGGTTTGAAGATGTAACAACAGAGTCAGGTAGTGCATTCCAGGCATTGACCACTCTGTTGGTGTGAAGTCGTATTTTCTGCAATCGAGTTTACTTTGAGTTTGTATCTATTGTTTGCCCGTGTGTTATTGTGGTTGAAGCTGAAGTAATCATTGACAGGTAGGACATTGTAGCAGACAATTTTGTATACTAAGCTTAGGTCAGACTGTAGGCGGTGTAGTTCTAAGTTGTCTAGGTCCAAAATTTCAAGCCTGGCGGCATAAGGTAATCTACTGTATATTCTTCTGTTCCCCCCAAAAAGCTCTAAGCTTGATGATGCCTAACCTGTCCAGCATTAGGAATGCATGAAACATTATGGATTTGAAACATTTTGAGCCTGAAACATTCTGCTCCAGTTGTTTTCATCATTCTGGAAATATTTCAAGCTCAATTTCTCAGTAAAAAAAGACTTCATGTTGTTTGAAACACAGAACATCTCCAGTATGATCAGAATGACTGATCTGAATTCAAGCCAAAATATTTTGAAATAAAAAAATTGGATCACCTGACTGAACATTTCAAATGTTGGGTAACCGCAACTTTAAGAGCAAAGGGGGGGGGGTTAATTTGTCGAACTTCTGACTACTGTAGCGCTTGACTTATGATCAGCCATTCAATGTTGCAAGTAAAAGTACTTAAAATCCAGTTCCAAAGACCAGCACCTGCCATGGTTATGTCGCCTCATTTCAGATGCTGTATAACTAACCCACATTTATCTGGATCCTGTCAGAGCTGAAGAAGCTTCTTGGATGAGAAGCAAAACATCTTCAAAGAAAAGCAGGAAAGTACAGTTGCCTCATGAAAAAAGCACCTTTGGGACAACCAGGACCTGGATGACCAAGAATCTTGATAGACACATTAGCCCACATTTCATCATCCACAGAACCCCATTTTCATGTAAAGTACAATTTATGATCTCTGATGATTTTTTCACAAGGCAACTGGACTTTGTTTTTCTTTGACATTTCACTTCTCATTCAAGAAAAGTCTTCTTCAGAACTGAAAAGCTTGTTGGATGAGAAGTGAAATGTTTTCAAGGAAAACAAAGAAAGCCCAGTTTTCTTTTGAAAAAATATATATCTTTGGAACAACCCTGACCTGGTTGACTGAGAATCTCCATAGATTTTTGCTGATTTGTCGATTGCACTGTTTATTCACATTGAAAAGCAGAAGTAAAATAAGAGTGTTTTTATAGATTTGAAACCTTCTCCGTTTGTACTGTTAAAAAGAGGGGAATTCAATGCATAAGGTACTTAATTTTGTGAAGAAACTGTTTGGTGTGTTTTTTTAGCTCTGGATTAAAAAGATAGAAGGATGGAATCCTGGCAGGGGTATCAAGATCCTCAGTTTTTGCCAGAAAGCTAAACATGAAAAATGAAGGTAAATAAACAGGATGCCCCTCAAAAAGCAGCTTGCCATAAAATTCTGTTTTCCCCAGAATGGTCTTTCCTCTAGATGGGAACTGTGCCTGCACAGAAACTTTGCTTTTGGCTCAAAGAATTCAAAATAGTGTCCACTCTTATTAAAGACTGAAAGACGGAGAATACAATATAAATTTGTTCCAGATATGAGTTATGTCTTCAGTGGGAGTAAACCCGAGTATTTAAGACTTAGTAAATTTATGTTTTGTAATTATCAACAAGAATGAAAAGTGGCTAGCAGCTATCCTTTTCCAGAAAACAAGTTGTACTTCTTTTCTAAAAATATACAAGGCAGTAGAATTCTACTTTTTCTAAAGTTTAACAAGCCTTTGAAATAGTGTGTGTGTTTGTCTGTGTGTTTGTGCATTATTTGGGCATTTTTCTTCTGTTTCCTTATTTCAGTTATTTTCCTTATTTCTTATTTTCCTTTTTAATGAGATTATTTTCATTTCCTTAATGAAATTGCTACCCTCTAAATGTCATGACTGAAGCAGCACTAAGCTCTTCACAAATATAAGGCTTTCTGTATAATTTTCTATAATGAACATCTGTTAATGATACGTAGGAATGACCTTGAGAGCATGGCACACAAATGCATAGTGGTTGGAGCAAGACACTCAAGAATTATCCTCCCTAAATTATTATCAGGTCATAAAGGTGAAAGCAGCAGAATAAATTCTTTCAGTTTTGCAAGATTCGGTTAAATGTAGCTTGGCTTATTGGGCAGTGTTTCTTGTCTAGTCTGCATCTCACAAAGAAATTGGAGTTCCTGTACATTGTTTTGAGCCTTAGCTGGCAACTTTTCCTAAGAATTCTTGATTTTAAAATCCAGAGATTCAGCCCTTCTCTGCCATTCCACTCGTCAACCTTCATCTACCCATCTCTATTCCATCTTGAATGCTGAGGAAAAAATATCTAAGATAGAAAAGAAATGGGGAGAATGTGTGCCTGTGTCCCAGATTACCATATTTTTTACATTATAAAATGCACCTGACCATAAGACACACCTAGGTTTAGAGAAGGAAAATGGGCAATGACAAAGACAGAAGAGGCCTGTATTTTTTGCTCCGTAAGACGCACAGACATTTCCACCCACTTTTTGGGGGGAGGGGTGCATCTTATGGAGATAAAAATACGGTATGTTGTCAATTATTTGCCCAAAGGTATTTTGTTTGTCATGAAGGAGGACTCAGAGCCAACCTGATATGAACCTGCATGTTTCAACCTGTGGGAATTTTATTCTGTTATCCAATGATTTGTGACATTTCTCCTTAGTATCCATGTAGTTATATTATTATTATTTTGTAGCCATGAAGTTACTACCTTGTGACATATTTTTCCATGTGCTCTTACTATGCAGAAAGCTCAACACATACAAGAATTTGTTACCCCATTAGTATCTATTCTACAAAGACTATCTGCAGAATTTTTTTTTCCAAAAAGAGACTGGAGTTCCAACAATATTTAATTAGGCATATGTATAAATCTAATTCATTAATGTTTTAATTAAATGTTTGAGTTAAATAGTTCAATCTGGGAATGAAGAGAACACAATTTTGTAAGTACAGAGTACTTTTTGGAAACAATTTTTTGGAAGCAAAAACATGATGTTTTTCTGCAATTTTTGGCAATACAAAAAATAGAATAGAATAACAGAATTGGAAGGGACCTTGGAGGTCTTCTATTCTAACCCTCTTCCTAGACAAGAAACCCTATACTACTTCAGACAAATGGTTATCCAACATCTTTTTAAAAACTTCCAGTGTTGGAATATTCACAACTTCTGGAGGAAAGCTGTTCCACTGATTGTTCTAACAGTCAAGAAATTTCTCCTTATTTCTAGGTTGTTTCTTTCCTTGATGAGTTTCCTCCTATTGCTTCTTGTTATACCTTCAGGTGCTTTAGAGAATAGCTTGACTCCCTCTTTTTTGTGGCAAACACTGAGATTTTGGAACACTGTTATCATGTCTCCCCTGGTCCTTCTCTTCACTAGACTAACCAGGCCTTGTTCCTGCATCCGTTCTTCATATGTTTTAGCTTCCAGTCTCCTAATCATCTTTGTTGCTCTTCTTTGCACTCTTTCTAGAGTCTCAATATATTTTTTTAAATACAGATTTACAGAACTATTCTTATAAAAGATAAAGGTTTCCCCTGTCCAGTCATAGTACTCATCTCCTTTTATTCACTAAAGAAGCCAGCATTGATCAAAAACATTTCTGTGGTCATGTGGCCAGCATGAAAATACACCAAAGTGCATGGAACACTGTTGATATCTTCCCACTGAAGTGGTACCTATTTATCTATTCGCACGTGCATGTTTTCAAATTGCAAGGTTGGCAGGAGCTGGGGCAAGTAAAACAATTATTATTCTTAGAAGAATTCTATTTTTAAAGCATTTTCAAAAGTAATTTAGCTTTCAAAATAACATAATATTAATAATGAGAAACACCACATTTAACAGATTTCATTTTTATAATTTGTAGTGCAAGAAACATAACCAAGTTAAATCACAGAATCAGTACTAGTTGAAGAATGTGGAAAATTCTCCTATACAGAGGTAGAATCCAGTGCACAAAGCTAAAACAATATTCAACAGTCTAAACAAGACTGAGCAAGGTTTTAT